ATTTTGGGTAGTTGTGGCTTTTGCTCAGTTTTACCCAGCCCATTTTTCACTCCAAACCACTTAATGCAAAGACTTTAAAAATTGTTTCTTGCTTTGATACAGTACTCAGTTCTAGAAATGTGGAAAGATGTGCAGAAGAAAACAGCACTGTTTTTTTCTAGAAGCATCTACTTATAAATTAAAATTCTAAAACTGAACATATGGTAAAACCTCATGCCACTCAAAAAGTATTTTGCATAATAAAAATCCTTCATCTTTTCTCTAACTCTTGACTCTCAGTAACTATCTCCTAAATATTTACTTTAAATTAACCACTTAAAATTTTCTTTTTGTTGTTGTGGTAAAAGACACATAACATAAAATTTACCATCTTACATTTGTAAGTGTACAGTTCAGTGATGTTATATACAGTCATGCTGTTGTGCACCAATCATCACCATCCACCCCCATAACTCTTCATCTTATAAAACTCTAACTCTATAACCATTAAACAATAACTCTCCATTCTCCCCTCCTCCCAGCCCCTGGCAATCACCAATATTTTCTTATGTAAAAATTCTTCTTGATTAAGCAAGGAAGGGTTACTTTGGTTTTAGATTTCCTTGCTGATTTCACTAAACATGGGAGTCATTAAAATGTACAGAGTCCTGAAAGACACTTTAAAGATTCTGAAAATAAGTTGCTATATGCTAAGAATATATTGCGGACACTTGGAATTCTAGAAGTAGCTGATAACGTTAGTAACCACCACAGTATTACACAGGATTTTCTTTTAGTAGATAAAGTACATACACTTTGCAACAGTTTTCATATGTATATCATAGTTGGTTAGTTTTTGTTTTACCTTTAATTATAAAATAACCATTTTTTATTTTTTTCCTCAGACTAACTGGCGTATAGGAACTTCTCAATTTAATAAAAAATGAAGACATGTTATTGATATATTATGACAGACATATATGCCCTTTTTTATCATAATTCTGCAATTATCAAGCCTACAATTTTAACACTACAAAAGTAACTTATAGCAAGGACCCTTATAGTGATAAGTAATAAATCTAATTACCATATCCTTTGAATAGATGTAATATAAATTTCATCACTCACTTAAAAGTTCTAAAGTTAACAGCATAAACTTGAAGTTGAGTAATTAAGTAATCCTTATATAGACACTTATTAAAGTATTTATACATATTATCTTAAATCTACATCTATCATTTTGCCAATTAAAATTAGGACTTTAATTGCAATTAAGTAATTTAATTGCCAATTGAACAGCAAAATTGCTAAGTGACTAATTTTAATGCCTATTTTAATTACCAATCATGACTGGGGAGGGAGCTAATCAAGTTACATCAAGCAGTACCAGAGTAATGATGTGAAGAAAAAAAAAAGCAGAACAAACATTCAAGGCTACATGCTTTAAAAAAAGAAACATAAATTAAATAAATGCAAACACAATCTTATAAATGTATAAAAATACTGTATTTCAATATCTGAATACAGAACATGAAATAGAGCAAGATTAATTAAAGAAGCCTCTGTCCATCTTCAAAGTAAGGAACACCAAATCAAAATTTTATGTGTTATTTACGTGGCCACCACACTAACCCAGGTGAAAACAAAGCTGCATATAGTCGAGAATAAAAGATTGTTTCCTGCTTGGCTGGTTAAATATTTACAGATTGACAGGTTTTTTAAAAACATGTTTAAATGAAAGGCTACACAAGAGAGAAACAAGTTTCCAATGCAGCAACGTGGTTTTAAGTTTGAAAAGCAAACAGGGCCAGTGCAGTGGGACTATATACTCTCTCCTGATGGCTCTCCTCCCCACACTCACTCACTCAAATGAAGTGTACCATTAGAGGTCTCATGCCTACCCATAACTTGTCCTATATTACCTTGAGAAAGGCATAAATCTGTCCTATCTTAAATATTTTAAAATACATTCATAGGTTAAAAAAAAATAGAAAGCATCTAGGGTTACATCACAATTAAAATTACTTAGAGCATGGGCAATATACCTTGTCCTAATAGTATTTCTTAATTTTCAATGAAAATATACCTTCCGGCTCAAGATTAAGACTGTAAACACCAGCAGGCAACCAAAAACTCTGGTGAAAATCTTGACCAATACAAACACATTTTCAAAAGTTTTCACATTCAAACAAATTCTCAGATCAGCAATATGGAAGGGCCATATTGAAAGAGGGAGGTGAAGTTGGGAGCTCAAAAAACAGGAAGTGATTCCCTGGTAGACAATAACAATACCACTACTTTCCAGCTATAGGGATCGCCTTGGCAGCCGGCCACCTCATCTAGAGTAACAATGGACAACCATGAAATCTTTGTTTAAAATAAGTCATGATGCAAGATACATATCTTATTTTTGCTACTATATATGTATACCAAATATACATAGTTTTTGTCTACAAATGGGCCTGAAATTATTCACCATGTATGTAATACAACTTCAGAAAAAGCAAATATTGCTGCTTAGGATTTTATGTACTAATGGACTTGAATTCTGAAATAAAGCACAGCAGGACTTTCAGCCTGGCTTTTGAAGAACATGTTAATAATCATGGGGCTTGACAGAAGCCTGCAATATCTGCTCATGACAATAACAGCTTTATAAGGCGAGTTCTGTGTGACTGGTTAAAGGACACACTCACTGTCTATTCAGAAGTCATGGAGATGGAGTCATTATTGACAACCTCACTACTGATCAAGGTTAAAACCCATTGAATGCCGACGCTACAGAGAGAAATACAACCTCAGCCGTTAAAAGATTACCAAAAAGAGTCTCCAGTAAGGGTTGCCATAACTCAGATATATCTTATTTTGTTCTGTATAAAATTTTCTGCTATTTATGTACACAAAAGATCTTATATTATTTGATAATCATTATCAAAATTATTGCCCTAACTCAAGCACTAGGTAACAAATCATCAAAAGAGTTACAAAAAGAGGAAAAAAAGGAGAAATATTATCTTGTAATTTAAAAATGAATATGAAACTTGCATGACTGAAAATATGTATATTTTCAGACTATGTCTATTTTGTGTATTTCGCTAGTTTATCAGTTCACATGAATTAATGTGGTTCACATATTGTTGGATGCAAAATCTTTTAAAAGATAGTATGTCTATAGCTTTTAGATATCCCTTAATAGGTAAAAGTTTAAAAACAAAGTTATCGTAAATTATTTTACTTTTTTTTTACCCTTATTTCTTTTTTTTCAGTGTTGCCTCTCCTCATTAGTGAAGGAAAAAGGAGGGATACAGTAAAAGACAACCACGTTTATAATCTGAAATTAGAGCCAATCAATTAAATATTTTATTAATCACCAGGATATTTTTTTAGAAGACCTGTGAAATATTACAGAATCATTCCACTAGGATCTAACAGTAACCTCAGTATGCTGTCACTGACATTTTGGGGGGGAAAAAAACAAACGATCAGTATTACCACATCCAGGATTCAAGTCAAAGTATACACATAGTTGAGGGCGTGGAGGCGGGGAGGGAAGGGTATAGAAACTAGTTTACTAAGGAGGTCCTTCTTATCTTTCTTATATTTCATATTTCTAACTACTTTTCCATAAGTTACTTTCCTAAGTTTAAGAATGACTGAAGTATAAAAAAGCAGAATTTCAAATAGTTAATAAATGGCTTTAGGAGTTACATTGAAACGACTCACAGAATACATAATTTTCTTAGGAGTCCTTTAATTTTCTGATTCAGAAAGTACGGTGGTCCTAAAGACTGCTCTTAAGTACCTAGCTCTGGAAATCATATTTTCCATTTCTCCATACCCTCATCGATTAGTATTTGGTCAGCTGATTGGCAGTTGCCAAGACAACAGTTTTGCTAAACTTTATAAACTTTATCAGCCAGAGGTGGGGGGGAGGGGGGCAAGACAGAAACGGATTTTACAGCCAGAATGGTGTGACAGAGCCCCTCAAACTACAAATAGACGTTACGAAATCTGAAACGTAGCTCTGTAGTTCAATTTATACCACAGAAACTGTGAGATGCTACCTTCCTGTTGTTATAACGTATCAGGTCAAGGGATATAAATTGTACCAGGTAATTCATTTTGCCGTTCAGAGAGCCATTAAGTTCCTCCCAGAATATACGTGATTGATACCCCTGGAGGTGAAAGGCTAAAGGAACCATATGGCAACATGTTGCATTCCGTATGCTATCTGCCCATCCGTGCTTAAGCTGCCATTAGCAACATCTGTACCTAACTGAAATCCAGCTGCGCCGACGCCGGCTGACGGAATTGTACTTGGGGGGGAAATCTAGCTTAGCGCCATTAACTTGAGACTTAGAGTCTATGTACCAGGACGGATGGAAGCTTTCACAATTAGACGAGACGACACAAATGCTTTATTAAAGTTTAATTTTGAACTCCCAATTAGCGAAACTGCATTACAAATCGACTGCAATTTCCTAGAAGGCACAGCAAGTTCTCTGCCTGCCTGCCACGTGCGAGAGGCTCCGGAGCCAGCTTCCCCAGCTACCGGCTGCAGAAAGGGGACGGTTCAGAGCTGCTCTCCGCATCCCAGGAAGTCCCTAAAATCCTCGCCAGCCCCTCCTTCCGCGGGGCGGGGGCGGGCGAGGACCAAACCCGCGGCGAGGGGGCGGGGGGAGGACTCAGATGTCCCGGGCGTTGGGAGGGAAGCAAGGGGTGGGAGTGGGCGGGGGAGGGGCGACGGGGGGGGGCCTACGCGGAGGGGGGGGCCTGCGCGGAGGGGGCGGGGGTCCTCTAGTATCCGGGCCTCTCCGGAGGAGCCTCAGCTAGTCACGCAGAAGTTTCTCTTTCGCTCTTCGCGCTACACACCCAGGTTGGCTTCCTGCGGGCAGGCCAGGGGTCCGGAGAGCGGGGGAGGAGACAGGAGACCCGGAAGAGCTGCCCGGCGTCCACACCCACCCCAGGTCCCCTCCCCCGACCCCAAACAAAGCCCCCACTCCAGGTCCAGGATACGTTACCTGCCTGGCGCTCCCGGCCCCTCGGTCACCGCGTCCCCCGCTGGGCGCGCCTTGGGCGGGTCCCGCTCCCCGGGACGCACAAAGTGGTCGCCCCCGGCCGGCTAAATCCCACTCTCTCGTCATGTTGGGGGCCAAGAAGGGGGAGCGGGGGAGGTGGAAGCGGAGGTTGGGGCAAGGAGAACTGACTGATAAAATTTTTTAAAAAAAGGAAAGAAAAAAGCAGCAGCCGGCGGGGCCCGGCCAGGGGCAGAAGAGGCCGGTTACGTTTCGGGGGTCTCGGGCGAGAGGGAGGGGTGGTGGGGGAGCGGCCGCCCGCCCCCCTCCCCCCGGTCCCCAGCGGCGACGGCAGCTGCACACACAGAAGCCCATTGTCGCCGGCGCCCGGCGTGCAGCCCCGCGGACTCGGCCCCGCGGCCAAGCGCGTCAGCGGCCCCGTCAGCCAGGCCGGGCTCCGTGACGCGCGCGCAGCCCGCGCTATAAATAACCAGCCGCCGGGCGGTTCGGGCGGCTTTCCAGTGACGCCGGGGCGAGGCGCGGGAGGAGGAGGGCGAAAGGAAACAATGAAACCGCCCGCCGCCCTCCTCCCCGGCCGCCCTGGGAGCTTCTCGCCGCGCTCCCCTGTCCCCGCCCCGGCCCGCCCTGCCCGGAGCAGAGCGCGCGTGTGGGAAGGACCTCGCAGAGCCTGCGTCCCCCGAGCCCGCCAGGAGACTCGGGGGTTGGGACCCATCGCTCTCCCCCGGGGCGGGAGGGCTGCTGCTTACACACCGGGGAACGGGCCGGGGGAGGGAACTTGGCGGCGAGTTTAGCGAATGGGTCGCTGTGTTACTTACTCCCAGACTGATTTAAACAACTTGATGCTTGCTCCGACGCTTTCCCACACCCATTCTAATACAGGTCGGGTGTGTTTGTGGCAGTAAACGCTCACTTCAAAACAAAACACAACACTTCCCTCTTAAACGTTCTGATCTAGCGTATTTTAAAGTATATGCCTGTGTTTGCATCTCATAGGGTTCTGCCTACATCCTACCCTGTATCAGGATTATATTCTTCCTTTCCTAAAATCCACCGGAATTATTTATCTAGGTTTTTGTCGGGCCAGGCCTACGTTACTGTTTTCATTTGGGGAGTTGTATAAAGGGTGCCCAGTAGAAGCAGCTTGGGCATGGGTTCCAGGACTCATGCTCTCAGTCCCAGAGCCTTTTTGCATGTCTTTTTAGCCTTGAACATACCATAGGCCTTGAACGTAGAACATTTGAATTTTCCAAAGTCTATAATATTTCAATGTCTTAGACTTTCATCAAGGCTGCCATTTAAAAGGAGCTTTTTCTATAGGTAAATTTTTTTCTGAGGCCTTTCTGTCTTGCTTGCATATTTAGGCCATTCTGTCCCACACCCGGACACTCCTCCCTATTAAGGTGCCCAGGTACAACTGGAGGCAGTCTGTCTTCCTGGAACCATCAATTAATGGACTAGTAGTAAGACAGGAGTTCCTCTTGAGCAGAAGATCTCAGATATATGAACTCCACGTTTTCTGGGATGCTGATATACATAGTTTGCAGAAGCAAGCAAAGTTTTGAAGTGACCAGGCATGGATAGAGTGAGTTAAAAGGGCTGAGGAAGTGGTTCTTGGCTCACAAGACAAAGTAGTGTAATGAAGGGTTCACTGGGCCGGTTTTCAGGTTTTAATTCTATATTCATTGTATCTCTCTGTGCCACCTTGCAGAAATCGCAGTCTGTCTCTGCTTCAGTTTCCTCGTCTTCAAAATGAAGGACCAGTGGTTTCTAAGCCCCTCTCAACACTAGCATTCTAGGACTTTAAAGGATATAACTGTGTTCAGGTATAAAGTTACTAATGTGAATACCCAGTGTCTCATGGGAAAAGGATAACCAAATGTAGAATAATTAATTCAGTCTTCTTGCAGTTTCTTATTTTGTACATTTTTTCAGAAAGAAAATATATTGAGGCCACTTCAGAAAAAGAATGAATTCACCTGCACGATTACAACTATATTAAGAGGGAAAAATAGTTGTCACTTTTTGCTCCATTCACATGACAGCAAACACAATTACAGTCTGATGATGTCTTAGGCCCTTTCCAACATCATATTCACCATGTGAGTGAATAAATTATGAGTAGCAAAATGTACTAGGACCACTTTCTCCAATTTTGCCCCCAAACCTGGCTTGTATGGTCTTTAGGAGGAAGTTTTCAATTGAAAGACACTGAATTGTTTATCGATGAGCAGTATTTATGAGACAAGCAAAAGTCATCTGATTGACCCTCATCAGAGAGTCAGAATTTGCCTTATTCTCCTGTCTCCAGGTTGGTGAAGGGAGAAAACATAAAAGCAGCAGAAACAAGTTTAGAGCCAAAGCATTTGCTTCACATAGACACCACCAAAGTGTGATCACAACTAAAAGTTAACCAGTATTTTCCCGGTTCCAAAAGCACATCTGTCTCCCTTTCCCATAAAATGTTCTGTATCTCTGATTTAATTTAATTTTGTCTTAAAGTTCTTTCTTCTGTAGCTTATAAAGAGGTATTTTTCTTTCACTGCTACTTTCCTGAAACTTCCAACTTCTCACATGTTTTTTTTTTAAGCATCTTTATTGGAGTATAATTGCTTTACAATGGTGTGTTAGTTTCTGCTGTATAACAAAGTGAATTAGCTATATGTATACGTATATCCCCATATCTCCTCCCTCTTGCGTCTCCCTCCCACCCTCCCTATCCCACCCCTCTAGGTGGACACAAAGCACTGAGCTGAACTCCCTGTGCTATTCGGCTGCTTCCCACTAGCTATCTGTTTTACATTTGGTAGTGTATATATGTCCATGCCACAGGACAGGAAAAAAGTCACATAGTTTTAAATTGAAACTCTTTCGCTTATTTCTTATCTTTTTTTCATGTGACCGATTCCATACTCCATTATCCTTACCCTTAAAAGTTTAACAGAATGAGAATTAGAATATCCAGGCTAAAATTGAAACATGACCAATTTTAGAGAGATGAAAGAAGGCTTAGTTCTAGGACCAGTAGAAGTACAGTGAAACAACCAGTTTTCTCAAAGCAAAAGAAAAAAAAAAATCCAGAACAATCATGCTGAAATTTGTGAAAATAGGAGACTGAAAATATGGAAATCTTTTATTTGGATCTCCTTGACACCATAAAACTTGTTACAATTTTTTAAACAGTGAATGTTTTAGAATGTGGATATTAATATTTCCAAAGTTTCTGTCTACCTGACGTTAAATCCTTTGAAAAGACTCCTCTACGGTAACAGTATTGAAGAATGTATTAAAGAAACTATTGTGCACTCTTGCCTTATTACTCATTTAATCTTGATCTATGTTTAGAGAGTTGTGCCAGCCAGGTCGAGGCCTCAAAGAAATGAGCACAAACATTTACCCTTTCCTATGCAGTATAGTTTTGGTGATAGAAAATTCATTTGGAAAATATCATTGAAGTTATAGTATAAGCAAATTCAGTAACCTTTAAATAGATAAACAGAAAGCTACCAACAAAGTGATAATGGATTCTCAGTATTTCAAATGAAAAGAAAGGGGTAACCAAAGTTTTAGAGCTAGGAGCTTTCTGCATTTAAAAAGCCAAGAAATTAAGGCAGGCAGTGTTCTTAAAAAGAAGGTTGGCTAAATTCAGCAAAATTAACAGGGCTTCCAACATCAGTTCAAACTATGAACGTACATACATAACTGGCCCTCTATTTTCTTTTCCTGGTTATAATGGTTTATCCCCAAGCTGTACAGCCTTTGGTAACTCCTTGATGAGATCCATTATAAACAGCTTTGTTCCTCCTGTATAAATTACAACAGCAAACCAGGATTTGTTAACAGTGAATTTAAAAACTTCTTTGTGAGTCTTCAGGATCCCAGGGCTGTTTGCTCTCTGATCCATTCCTGGCTCTTCTCGCCCCCTCTCTGGTCTATATCACAGGGGAGCTGATCCTGCAAGCAGCGTTGCACTGCCTTCCCTTAGGAGCTGGCTGCCAGCTGGGTGGGACCAGTGGGAAGCAAGAGCAGGAAAGGAGAGAGCTGGAGGATGGGCAACGTCAGGATATTCCTCACTCAGCCTCCCTGCTCTAGCTCCTGCCAAATGCCCTGTGACTTGACCCTGGGCTCCAGTAACGTTGCCTTTTCCCTTTATTCCTCCCGCTTAAGAATCATAGTGGCTTTATCCTATTCAGAATCAATGTCCTCTTTGGGGGTTCCCTTCTCCCTTCTGTCACCTGCTTTTACAAATTCCTTGAATTAAATTCCCCCTCTGTTGACTACTTAGAGCAGTTTCTGTTTTTCTGCTTGGAGCCTGACTCTATACATCCTATTGAAAGGCATTATTGGATGATATACATGGAAAACTCTATTATTCCTTGATTTTCTTTTGCTAGAAATTCTTTACTTTAAATGTGCTATTTAGAAGTGCTAATAAAGGGTTCAGTCCTCAAAAAAGCAGAAAGAAACCCAACACATTTTTAAAAATCAGTTTGCCATGGTCATAATATTCAAAACTATAAACACAAAATATTATAAGCTTTACGGTTCATTAGTCAGAACAGGGCTATACTTAGCTGTGACTGATATATAAATTCCATTCTAAAAAGAGGAGTAGCATATAATACTTGTCAAGACAATTACATCACACATCCTGTATAAGGGGTACTCATTCACCAGCTTATTTGCCAGTGGTCTCTCTGTTTTCTCATATCAAAGAGAGAGAGAGAGAAAGGGAAAATAGAGAAGAAAAGAAAAAAACCCTGAAACTTTCTGTATTACCAAAACTTGTATTTCTGTATTACCAAAACCTTCTGTATTTTGAAGTGCCATGTTTGTGAGTCCTTGGGATAATATTTTGAAATCTAAATTATGTCTGCACTTTTTTTTCTCCCTGTATTTTCTGCTATTGCTTCTCTCCTCCCTTCCCACCTCTGTAAGCAGGTCTCCTGCTAGGTATTCATTGTCCCAAGAAAAGGCAAAAAGAAAGGGAAACAAAAGTAATCTATGTGTATTTCTGGCTTTGTTTTATAGAATCCTGAATTCTCAGGGAAGAGGGTTTCAGGACACAGACTAAGTATCTTGAAGGACCTTCAGAGGGAAAAGGGTTTTCCTGAATCTTGGAAGAGGATACCCACAGGCACGTAGAAGGGGAGAGAGAAACACTGCATGTTCAATGATTCCTGAGGAAGAAGCAAGGAGCTGGGAGCTGATACTGGAGGAGTTGCTGAAATACAGAATCCAGGGTAGACTTAGCAAAGGAGTCCCCTGAGATCATGGTTCTAGCATGCAGGTGTGTC